GGATGTTTGACTCCCTCTTAGAAATTTCTGAAATTTATTTAGGTGTTGCTTTTACGAAAGTTCAGTGGTCTGCCAGCTTAAATGCTTGAAGCTGTTTTGACATCTAAGCAGACATTATTTTGGAGTCCAACAGTGGTTCCTAATTTATTGGCCATGAGTACCTTAGTGATAGAACTGTATATAGTTCATCACAAACCAGCTTAGCAGTGAAACTGTTTAACAGTAATATCTTGGGATCGAAAACATCTGCCAAGGAAATAAATCACTTGTGGAAAGTCCCACTTTCAGTGTCTATGTATATTTGGGGAACTCCCTTTGTAGCTGTCTGCAGGAATAGGACTTTGGCAATCATGTCTGTACTTCTGCTCAGTTACGTGATTTTTTTTAAAATCTATGTTCTAGTTTAAATCATTCTACAAGCACTGATGAAAGATAGAAGCTAATCACAACCGTAGCAGCATTTTCAGTCTTTTTTTATATGGATAAAAGGAACAAAGAATGTATCTATCAAGTTTGAATAGTAAATGAAAGTGGAGTCTTCGTAATGTGTCTGAATTTATTTTAAAAAATAAAAAGCACCCAAAAAACCAAAAATACCCCAAACCAAACCAAAAACCCCCAACAACAACAACAACAACAAAACTCAAACAAAATAAAAAACAAACCCAACCAAACTAAAAAACCTCACACCAACAAAAAAAACCAAAAATCACAAAAAAAGAAAGAAAAAAAAAAAAGAAAAGAGAAGCAGCAAAGTGCTTTAGGAACTTAATTTCTACTTTGTGTTGTTGTACCAGATTTTACAGGTGTAGTCTCACTGGCATAGATGTGACCCAGTTAACTTGCTGGGTGAATACAGTTGAGGGGAGGGAGGTACTTTTGATTCAGTAGAAATCCCTTAAACTTAACTCGGAAAGCTACACATAAAAAAATTACCAACATAGAAAATTATGCTGAAATAGCTGCACTGACTTTAATTCAGTCCTTATTTCATAGAACTGTTATGTTTGGAAAAGACCTCTAAGATCATTGAAGTCCAGTGTCACCCTTGCACCAACACTGGGTTCACCACTAACCCATGTCCTCGAGTGTCACATCTACATGTAGTTAAACACCTTCAGGGATGATGACTCCACCACTTCCCTGTGCATGCCTGATAACCCTTTCTGTGAAGAAATTTTTCCTAATATATAATCTAAACCTCCTCTGCTGCAACTTGAGACCATTTCCTCTTGTCCTATCATGTGTTACCAGGTAGAAGAGACTGACCCCCACCTGGCTGCAGCCTCCTGTCAGGGAGTTGCAGAGGGTGATAAAGTCCCCCTGAGCCTCCTTTTCTCTGGGGTAAACAGTCCCAGCTTCCTCAGATGCTCCTCATAGGACTTGTGCTCCAAACCCTTCACCAGCCTCATTGTCCTTCTCAGGACATGCTCCAGCATCTCAATATCTTCCTGGTAGTGAGGGACCCTACAATACATTATTATAAAATCTTGCATTATTTTTCAAGGTTAGCTGGTGCAAGAGAATCTGTTAAATGATAACGTTCTTATACTGAGAGTTTGCAGAAGGTTCTTGTCTTCCACCTGTGCAGTCTTAGTTTTTGTGGTTTTTTTGAAACTATGCATATACTGCAAATACTTTGTGACTGTACATTGGTTTACAGACGTATTCCAAAGTCATGATATCATCTTCTGGAGCATGTGCCAAGCTCTTCGGTGACACAATCACTAAAAGTTCCAACTTTGTTTTAACATTGATAGGCTCTTTCTCTGAGGTATGGCTTACTGATTGCAGAGCAGTGCTGGCTGGCCCATTTTGAAGTTCCAAGCCAACAATATGTCTATAGATGTCCAGAGTTCAAGAGCCAGAGGGGTATGAGTAGCAATTCAGAAGCTTTTTTGATCTGAAATGTTTCTTGGTTTTAGATTGAATACATATATTGTCAAGACTTCATCTACCTTTTTAACTACACATAATAAATAAGTAGAAATATTTTTAGGACTTCTTCAGCTCTTCTCAAGTAAGCTGAAGGAAGGAATGATAGTTGAAGTTGAAAGAATAGGAATTCTTTTGGCATTGAAAGAGGATTTTTGGAAGTTCTGGCCTCATTTCTGCCCTTTGTTGCAGATTTATTGGTTTTTGTGTGATAGTGCTGCAGTTCACCCAGCAGAAGTAATTCTGATGTGTGGTTATTTGTATTTTCCCAGGATTGCCTTACTTAATAAATGAAGGGTTCAGGCGGGTAATTTGCACTTGCTCTTTTACAATCTACCCTTGGGAAGCAGACAGTTGGCAAATGTGTCACCTCTCAGTACAGTGGATGTTTCCACTGTAATCTACTTGGGACTAAACTAGTTTGCTAGAATTAATAAAATAATAAGACTTCTAACAATCCACTCCTGATCCAAGCTTATGAAAGTCAGTGAAGGATTAACAGAATGTGGCCATCCTTAATGCCCTACCATACTGTAGACTTTTATGGAAATATATAATATGTGAACCTTACATTATTCTCAGTAGAACATGACTACTGAGCTGACCTCTTGCTGCAGAAAGTGGTGTTCATGCTATATTAACGTTTTTTTTGTCACTTTTTAAATTTTCTTGCCTCGCCTGTTACTGTGCTCTTCTTGCACTGCTTTTATTTGCAGTCCATTCTTGCAGTTTCCTGTAAATTCGTCAGCAAGAGGAAGCTCTTGCTGCAGAGACAGCTCAGCCCTGCAGCGAGACGGGGGAACTTATACTGGTATTTTAGTGCTCTTGTGTTCCATTAACTAATGACAAGTAGGATTCTGCCAGCAAGAGCTGTTCCCAACAATGGCAGAGAGGGTTGGCTGCCTTCCTCGGACACTGGCCCTGCTGGAATGCAATCCAAATGCTGGTTCCAGATGGTTTTGTTCTTCCTTTTAAGGCTATCTGAGTGATGGCTGTCTTATGATGTTAAGGAAGTGAAGTAGCTCCTTTGGAGTGGGATTCTCCCTAGGCTAGCTTGGTGCAAGGCTGCTCCTCACCACTAATTTTTGTGGGGACAAATGAAGGTTAGTGGGCTGAAAACCAAACACCAAAGGTCCACGCATGACAAAATTTTGCTTTGTGAAGAAGGACATACTTAATACTCTTTCATTTCCCTGACACATGTGTCAATCAAATCCATAAAGCTTTCATGTCTTTTCGGGCTCCTTATTTGCAATTTTGATACGCAATCCTTCTGATGGCTGTTTGGTCTAGAAATTAAGCTGAATTTTCGCTCCTGAACTGTGAAACATCTAAATTTGTGCCGTCCCTTGGTGGAACACCAGCCTGTGTGTGTGAAAGGGTTTCTGTTTTGACTCTGGGACCATCTTGATAGTGTTGGAAATCACCGGAAAAGTGGAAATGGGATCTTGGAACTTGAAATGAGAAGTCCTGCTGCATTTGAATGCTGAAGTGAGGAAAGGGAGAGGACAGCATCAGAAAGGTCAGAGTGGAAAAGCAGCATGTCAGGAACATGTGTTGGATAAAGGAGACTTAATTTATTGAGGCCAAAGAGCATGGTACTGTAAGTTGTAGAGTTTGGAGGGGAAATCCAAGACTTAGGTGTGTCACACCAGAAAAGGGAAAGAGGAACTGAAGTTTTTTTCCAGTGTTACATACACACAGATGCTGTAATTTTGATTGCAGTTTTGTTATTGAGGCAGAGATAAAGCTTGTAAAGATGCTAATGCAAGCCTGGAAGGGTATGTTTTGATAGAGAACTTAGAGAGGAAAAATTACTTTAAAGCAGTGTGTGTTAATAAGTAAAGTCTAAATGGGTAATTGATATTGCAGCAAATAAGGCAAGTGAATTCAATTCACAAGCTGCTGAGCTGGAGTCCTCTATTAAGTATCTCCTGTGTGAAAAATCTGTTAGTTAAGCCACCAAGACAACTGGGTATTGATCCTTATTGAAGAGCATTGGGATTTTGTGTTGATGTGCTGATCCTTTGGCTGGCAATAGATGTGTGGTATTTATGGTTTGCTTCCCCTTCCTATAGAGCCTGACTGTGCAAGGAGCGCAGATGGGTGCCCTGTGGTGAGAGAACTGCTTTTCTAGCTGATGCAGCCATGACCAGTACCTGAAATGTTACTATCTTTTGTGCTTTGACTGTTGGGTAGTTTACAGAAAGAGATAGTGTTGTATAGAGACTTCTTCTTCCGCCTGTTTTAGGGTACAGATTCACATCCCTTTCCCCAAAAACACATGAAGTAAACTTTGCTTAACCTACTTACGTGTTTTGTCCATCCTTCAGAAACTTGCTAGTTGGTTTTGTCTTATTTGAACTTTCCAGCCTGTGATGTTGTCCGATTCTAGACAAATCAGTAAAACACTTGAATCCTTTTTAGAGCTCCATATGAAAATAAGTGTAAAACAATGGCATTTATTTATCATCAGTTGGTGATATTCATCCTGTAGAATTGTGCATTATGAGCCTCTTGAATTTGAATTTTATTCTCTTCTGTGGTTTGGGTAGCATCAAATGTGCGGGCAAGACTTGCTCTAAAGCACATCTATGCTTCAGAGTCTTTAAAAACGGCTATTATAATTTTTCTTGGGTCAAAGAGGGAAGGAACAAGCTCCAGCTATGGAGGAGAAAACATGAAATACTCATGGTGGTTCTGTGGTGCACTGCAGGTACCTGAGGCACAAGCTCTTCAGAAGCACAGGCAGCGTTTCTGACCTGTGCCTGTGCTACTGGGAGAGCCTGAAAACACTGTAAGGGAAGAGGACGACTTTCTTTTTCTCCCGTAGGAAAGATTGAAAGGTGAGCAGGAAGAAAGTGAGCGCTGGAAAATCCCCTCTGCTTTCTAGCTCGATGTCTGGCAGAGGCTTGAGGTCTGCAGGAATTGATTTACAACCTCTCTGGGAAGCCGGGAAATCTGACAAAGATAGTGCTGCCCACTGACAAGGGGGGGAACAGGAAGTAGCAAAGGAAACAAGTCACTGCCTCGGCGTCACTTTTGGCCGCAGCTCAGTGCAGATGCACAAGCGGTCGGGGCAGAGTTTCTTTCCCTTCTGTGTGGACTGTTCGGCAGCTTCGCCGGCACGTTCAACCTGGCAGTACCCACGGCAGGGAGAAGCGCAGGGATGTTCCTGTCATGCCTGAGAGGGGTCACAAGTTCTTAATGGCTTTGTCATCACAAAGGAAACAATCATTCGGGGAAACTGCCAGCAGGAAAACTATGTGTCGATCGGGCAAGGTCACCAGGTTAGTGCTCTTTGGGGGCTTGTATTTCTGTCATCTTTTCTCTTTAAGGTAGAGAGCAGGCTGCAACTAAGAGGAGAATATGGTCTCTGGGGTAAAATACTTTTAACTCGTGCAGAAAATTAAAGGATAAATAATTGGAGGGGGAAGAGATGAGGTGGGTGTTGGTTGAAAACTTTCACCAGAAAACAAAAGCAAGTTGAAGCAAGTTAAACAGAGTAAACTTACATACAACAGTGTATCTCGGTCAGGCTTGGTTCTCTGTTCCCTTTGTCTTGTAAGATTTATTTGACTTCAGAGTGTTTGTCCGGTGCCATTAATCTTTCTGAGAAACTATTGTGAAAGGGGCTGTTAAGTATTAAGAAATGGAATGTGTAGCCAGAAAAGTAGGAGAGATATGGAAGAGTATTTCAGAAGTCCTGGGGAATAAGTGGACAAGAGACCTGAAAATCCTGCAGAAAGCATCTTTGAGAACAGCTGGTGAATGTTTAGATGGTTGAATCAGAGAACTCGTTTTTGCTCAGAATGGATGAGAGCACTTAGGGGAAACTTTCATTTTACAGTTTTGCAGTATGCAGTGCTGCCTCTTTTTTTGGTAAAGCCTTTAGCAGAGACTTCAGTCTCCCTCTGCAAGATATGAGGAATACATTCATTTCTATAAGTTATGGGTTATATATGTCATGATGTATGTAAGTTATATATTCAGAAGGACACTAGCATTGGGCTTTGTTAGGTTTTACTTTCAAAATAGAGTTTATAGACTAGAGATTATGAGATATTACAGAGTTTTAGAAGTTCTCAGGCACAATTGGCATAGAGGTAGTTTTTAAAACTTCAGGTTTAATGTTTGTACTGCAGCTTTGGAGGCTGTCTTTTATTTTTTTCAGCATGACCAAAGTGGGTTCCAGGACCAACCATAAATATTATTATAACAAGTGAAAACTTTTAATACAGCTTTTGGCAGCTGTAGTTTCAGAGATGAGGGTAATGTTTTTTTACGCCTGTATACTGCAAGATGTGGAGATGATCATATCTGCCATATGTTCTGCTGAAGTTAAGCAAGAACTGAGGACTTGTGGGTTTTCCAGGATGCAATCCTTAATTGAATCAGCTTGTACTGGCTTTAACTGGGCTAAATGCCAGTAGCTCTTAAGGCCAAGAGGGGTAAGTGCTCTTCCATAATATAATCCAGATTTTAATGTGGCAGAATTTTACTTTTACTCTTGGAAGGACTTTTAGGCAGTAAAATTATGCCCTACCCTCCAATCTAGCAACTCTAACTGAGAGGATAGGTTAAAATTGCCTCACAGACGTGGATGCATCTGGTTCCTTGGTGAGTGGGAAGAAGAAGATCTGTAGCTATTACTAGAAGCTTTCACCAAATACTGCATGGGTGATGTTGCCTTCTGTTTGTAGCAGAGGACCAGTGTCAGAGAGAGCTTTGTCTTGGCTCTGGCTGCTCATTGGGGGCCCTTCCTGGTGACTTCCTTGTCAGCTCCTTGGAAGAGACTCTGCCAATGCACCAGGAGTGAAAATGTGTACTGGGGTCTTTTGGCTTGTAGTGCAAGAATATAGTTGCATCAGAAACAGCTTGGAAATATCTTTCTGTTCTCAGTGATGCCAAAGTTAACAGGCTCTGCAGGGACTTCAGTGCTTGCTATTGTGCATTCCTGGTAATGCAACATCAAACTGTTCTTCAGGTAATGCATTTTAAAAACTGTAAGAGGAATATCAAGAATGGAAGGAACCAATTCAGTGAGCTAAAAGCAACTATACTGTAGATGCTAAGACCAGAAAAATCTTTAAGAGCTTCCGTTTTTCCTTCTTGTCTCTCACCCCTGCAATAAAGATCCTGAAGTTACATAATTTTGACAGCTATGATGCAAAATAGCAACATTTGTCCTTACAGAGTTGTTTTCTGCAGTCAGGAAAAGAAGACAGATCTGCCTGGGACTAGATTCCAAATACTTAAATGGATTTTAGTAGCCTAACTCAAAGATTTCAAATCAGAATGCCAAAGTCCTCCCTAAGTGTCTGCAATGTGCCAGCAAATGAAAGTGCTTGAGGAGCTACAGATATGATGGGGAGAGCTCTAAGCCACATTGAAATCCAGATAATAGGCTTAACAGCCTCTAAATCTCTTGAAAAGCCTGGTACCTTAGGTGGGCTCTTTAGCTCAAGTAATATGTGCTTGGTTGCCTGGGGTTCAGCCATGTCTCCTCTTATTCAATTAGCTGGGCTGGGGAAGTTCTAAGTTTTGCTCTCTATTCTCTGTAAGGATCGTTCTCCTTACAGAGAATAGAGAGCAAAAGAAGAGAAATGAATGTGAATAGAGGAAGCAGAACCTGATACTCGGCTGTCCTTTCCCCTCAGTTAAATCCTGTAATCATCACACTATGGAAAAGGATTTCTTTTTTTTCCCCTCTGCTCACTCCTCTGCTTCTTTTTAAAATTTTTTTCCTGAAATTTTGGCTTTTCAAGTGGGGAAGAAAATGTCCATCCAGGCATGCTTTAGTGAGTAGTCTGACTGGTGTACTCCCATACAGAAGGCCATCATGACCTAGATAAATATTTCTGCTTTCTGTATTTACCTAGGGTGTCATACACTTGTTCCCAGTGTTTGCCTTTGGCTTCCTAGAAATTTCAGCTTCCTGATTGTTTCGGGTAACCTCTCTGAAATATTAACTGCCTCTTCTGATAGCTTTTCAACCTTAGTACCCAACACTGAAACAGTTTTACACCATACTCTACATGCTTCAGTCCTTTCTTGTTCTGTTCTTTGTAGTAAAGGCACGCAGGATTTCAAGCCCCATGATGAACTGGAAGCTGTTGGATGGCATTGAGGCTAAAGTTAGGGTTAGTTCAAGAAAAGTGGCATCAGAGTATATTTAACTGAATGAAGAGAGTCCAATTTTACTTAATCTTTTCTCTGAGCAGAACTAGAAACAGACTGAAATAACTTAATCACAAATTAATTTCTGATGTTTGAACATTGAATTTAGCCCAGGACTTACCTTTGCATTCCTTATTTCAAGGAAATTACTCTCAGTAGTACTGCAGTGTTTGCAGCCAGCTGGGTAACACTCTCCCTTTCCCTCAGGCTTTTCTGCAAGGTGTGGAGGAACAAATTGAAGGATTTAGGAAGGGGAAGGGTGTGTTAACCTCTGCTACTATTCTTTTTTTTACTATTATTCTTAAAAACTTTAAGTACATGAGTAGTCCCTTCTTGGACCTGTTAAATACAGTGCTGGTGCTGGACATTTCACTGTGGGGGAGGAAGAGGAAGGAACAACTCAACTTGGAAAGATCTCAGTCATTTAATAAGAGCACAGAGGAAGCAGCAGAAGGAAGGATACAGCTGAACACAACAAAAGTAACTTAGCTTTTGGTGAGGAGGGGAGTGATGGGGAAAATTGGGAAACCATGGTGCCTGGATGTGTCTGCTGTGAGAGCCATTCTGGGGCCTTGGATCCTCCCTCCTCTGGTTGTACCTGCCTCATGACACTGGGGACCAAAACCTAATTTTTGTGATTGAGATTTTTAGGCTGCCTAAAGAAATGAATTTAGTTTAAACTCTCCTGGTAGAAATTGCTAGGAATTTCCACTCTTTTCCACACACACATCATCAACAGGGACAAGCAGTTAGATCTGAATCCTGAGCTGATCCACTGAAAGATCTATTGACGTGCATTTCTCTTTTTCCTAACACATACTCAGTGGATATGTACTCTGCTGTTGCACTTAATCCCTCAACAAAGCTGCAACACTTCCTTGTTCTTTTCAGTTTAGGAACTTCCAGTTGCCATCTTAGGCTGGAGGGGAAAGTGCCTGGGCAGAGAGTTGTGCTGAGGCTCTTGGATTCTGTGCTGAGCCTCACTGTTGACCTCCCTTACTGTCCCTTTTGGGTAAAGGAGAAGCAAACAAGATCCATTACATCTCAGTCCTCCACTGAAAGCTTATCAGTTCTAAACCATCATTCCTTGATCAGAAATTAATTAACTGGAACTTCATCAGTTTGCCTTTTACCAGCAAAGGTCTCTAGCCCTACACCTGAGGATAACAGACCCTTTTATGTCTAGGTCAAAATTCCCATTCAGTCCATGCATGATTTCTTTTCCCTATTACACAGGAGGATTTTTAGCCTAGTTCTGTCACCATTTGAAGAAAGAGAGGGCTCAAACTTATATATCTGAAAAAGCTACTGCCTAAGAAACTAATCTTTTTGGTTTAAGATGACAGCAGAAAGAGTGGTAACTGCAAAGGAGCTTGGTGGGGCATGGCATTAATAATTGGTAGATAAATGAAATGGAAGCCTGCAGCAATCTGAGATGAGCTTCACTTGCTCTGGGTACTGTGGCATATAATATCTGGTGTGAGATTATGTGCTAATCCTTCCATTCAGAGTAAAACATGTACATATCAGGAGTAGGTAGTATTAGATACTTCAGTTATTAAACTTGGACTTGATTCCCTCACTGTACAGAAAATGACGTTGTATTTACATGTGTGGTGTAGCACTGGGAGAAGAAACCAATTTTCTTTCTGGTCACCTGCCTGATTAAGTCTGGCAGTGTTATCTGGAGCATTTTTAACACAGAAATACTTAAATAACACTTACTAAGCACTCTTCCACTGTTTCAACCACTGTCAATCACTCCTGAGAGCTGGACAAAAATAAGTCGGGGCTTTTTGCACCACGGTTTTTTATACATTGTGAGGTTCCTGGAATCTCTGAACACCCGTCTGTGCTACATTCTTGAGTGTTGTTTGGAAAGCTTGTTTAAGGAAACGAGCTTTGTTTCTCAGTACTCTTTGGAGTAAAATCTGTGTTCTAAGTTGTCTTTAACCATTCGGAATTGCAGGATGATGGCCTCGCAGGAGCACGTCTGGCCTGTCCCAATGAAGGCAATCGGAGCACAAAACCTTCTGACAATGCCTGGAGGAGTGACCAAGTCGGGGTATCTTCATAAAAAAGGAGGCACCCAGCTGCAGATCTTGAAGTGTAAGTCAAATTATTAACTAAATTAAGTGTTTAAAATGCCTGCCTCTGGGGCCACTAACACGTATCATGATAGCAGACTACTGAGACTGTTCTTCCACTTACTTTGTGCTGGAATATATGTGTGAAAGACCCCTACTGAAAGATTTTTGCTTTCATTGTTTTGGAACTTTAAATCTTAAATAACAAATGTTGTGGTTTATTTTATTTTGCTTGTTTAAATTTCTTGTCAAATCCTTCACAAGTGAGATTTTTCAAGACAAACAGATTCCTAGGATATGTATCAATTTCAAATACTCTTTTCTAAAAGAAATTAGTATTCAGCTTTTTTTTTTTTTCCAGTTGGTTAATCTGTACTGGAAAAATATCCCAACTCCTGTTGCTGTTGTGAAATGGAAATTTTCTCGCTGCCAGCATTGGGCTGTACTTAAAACCAGTAATTTCTTCTGAAATCAGAGTCTGTTTACATGGAGAAAACTTCAGGTTTTGGCTTTATTTATTTGCTGTTCATGTGCTATTCCTGTTTATGTTGAAACTATACATATATAGTTAAGGACAAAGATTACTGCCTTTGATATAGGAAGGAGTCTTGGCCCCTTTCAAAGAAAGAAAATAGAACATCATTTTATTGGCAGCATTATATACTTAAGGTGAAAGAAGAGATACCATCATGGTTTTGGGATGGATGTAAATAAGTATTTGTAGCTATAGCTACCTTCCTGCTGTTGTTTATTCTGCTAGTAAAGGAGCACGAGTGGAGGTCAGACCTGCAGTCTGAGGCTTCTTTTGAAATTTTCAGATCAGCTCCCTCTCAAATGAAGGAATGAAATGCTCCTGAAACTTTGTGAATGGACAGTTTTACCATGTGACTGATCATCAGCAAGCTGTCACTTAACTAGTTAGTGCTCATTTATAATGATTAATAACATCAGTGAAATCTTAAACAATAATTTTAGCCAAGTTATAGTTATTGTACTGCCTTTGGAATCTTATTTTGCTCACTTTTTATCTTTTCAGGGCCACTGAGATTTGTGATTATCCACGAGGGATGTATCTACTATTTTAAAAGCAGCACATCTGCATCTCCCCAGGGTGCCTTTTCTTTGAAAGGTTACAACAGGTGAGTGCCAAAAACTTGTTGAACACCCAAACTCCTTGTACTTAATGCAAGAGACTCCAGGCTTCATTTCCAACCAAGTTAAACACAGCTACATCTGTTCTTTGGGTTAAGCATTGATCTTAGATTCCAAGGGAAGTATTCCTTTCAAATTGTGTGTATGACATTTCCAGTGCCTGGCAAGTGGACAGCCTTCACGTCCTGTAATTTGACCAGTAAAGCTGTTTGAGTTGCAATGGGCTCGCTCTTGTCATTGACTTCATGCTTGTGCAGATAGATGTGGATTCTTTCAGACAAGTGATCTTTGTTCTGTAGGGATTTCAATGATCATCGCAAAACCAGAAGGGAAAATTTATGGAGTTACTGGTTCAGCAGCTCTAGTGTCAAAAGTGTTTGAACTACAGAGTGATAAATAAGAGAATGCATGGGCAAGATGTCTGACTTGTTTTGCTACATGTTTTAAATCTTAATATTTGCTTTGTAAGTGGAAGGCACATGGCTTTCAGGTTAGCCAGTCCTGTCAGAGTCTGAGTGCACCACATCTACAAGGCCTACTAATGCAAGTCCAATTCAACATTAGGAAATTGCTAAGAAAAGTTTAATAAGAGAGGGAATGCAAAGAAATATCAGTGCGATTTTATTGCATTGGTATATGTTATTATTGTACTGCATCATGTTCTCAGACTTTTGGAATAAGGAATTATCTTTTCTTAGATTATGAGAGCTTTTCTAACTGAGCACAACAAAGGCATATTTTAGGGGAATGCAGTTGTAAAGATTGTAGCTAATTAAAAATTCAAGGTTAATTTGCAGAAGAAACTCATGGTGTAACGTGATCACGACAGTAGCTTCTGTAACCCACATTAATGTGGAAAACGCCATGGGATTTGTAAATGCTAGAGACTGTGTTTATTGCCTTTTATGTATCTACATTCTAGCAACCTTGGCTGGAATAGGGACCAGGCCTCAGTATCATGCACACAGAGAAAGATTACTGAAAAGGAATTTGAAATGAAAGAATTGTTAGACTGGGTAGTTGCATAAAGGGTTTTTATTTTTTTTCCCCCCAGAGGAATCTCAAATGAGGAAATTCCTTATACACACAAAAAAAGAAAGAGATTGAGTTATGCTTGTTTTAAAATAGTAAAAAAAGTGCAAGAAACTGTTTATAAGGGAAAAGTGGCAAAATTAAGTTAACTTTTAATATTAGTTTTCCTAATTTTCCTTTTATTTCATGGGAAGCATATGTTTTGATTTCTCCTCTGAAATAGTGCCTTTCTGAAAGTAGGACCACAAGCACCCTAAATACTTCTTACTGTGTGTGACACTTGTGAATTAATGCAGTTCATTAAAACTCCTGAACACGTCAAAGCATCTATTCAGTAATCCTGGCTGGTGGTTGGATGAGTGCCCTTCCTCCTGTCAGAGCTCTTGCATTGTCCTTTCTACCACTTAAATGGAGAAGTACCACCAATGCACATATGGGGATTTCTGGGGTGTTTTCCTGGGCTCGGGGGGTTATTTTTCATCAGGCAAAACTGGCCAGTAGAACTGTTCTCTGTCAGAGCTTTCTGACCTGCTCAGCAGCAGTAACTTTATAGATTAAGGCGTTTCTGTGTCGGTTGTTGTGTTTCTCAGGGTTATGCGGGCAGCTGAGGAGACAACATCAAGTAATGTGTTTCCTTTCAAGTTAGTTCACATAAGCAAGAAGCACAGGACGTGGTTTTTTTCAGCTTCTTCTGAAGATGAAAGAAAGGTAACTTTCTTCTTCTTTTGCAGTATAATTTTCCTTGAAGCGGAAAGCGAACCTTGGACTTCCCTAAAATCTAAAGGAACTGGAAATGCAGCTGTCACTGAAATTTGTATACCTAGTTCTTTGGGCTCCTCTGAAAGTCATGTCTGAAGTTTTAACTACTAAGTTGGTGTTAGTTCAACTTGTAGTTTGGGGAATGGCTGTAAGTGTCATACTAGATGGAATATGTTTCTCTATATTCCATAAATATTCCATATTTATTCTTAGCCAAGGAATAAATATTTATATGTTAAACCTTTGATAAAGTATGAAAACTGTTCAGTGAAATCTCTTGCCCATAAACATACTATGAATAGGTATCTGGCTTTGGAAATAATAGCTTGAAACTTGAAAACTGAAAATTTAATATTTCAGTACGTTCTTACAGCGTTTTAGGCAGTCAAAACATTTGACTGACGAGTCTTTTCAGTATAAAGTCATGGATAAATACTATTTCAGTGTTTGTTCCCTGCACAGTTACTCTGTGGTTACAGAGGACAGATATGTCTGTATTCAGTGATTTAAACGTGGAGGTGTTGAATGTTGTGTTTTTATTTTTATTTAGAATTGGATGCTGTCCTTGAGGAGAGAAATTGATCACTACCATGAGAAGAAAGAAACAATAACAGAATTCAGGTATAAACCCCTAATCTTTATTAGTTTTTTATCCCTTTCACACTAGCTCTTGACAGTGGTGGTTTAGGCTTTTTGCACCTGCAAATAACTTGCTGTTAAATAAGAACAGGTGCAGTAAGACCCAAGAAGGAAGGCCCTTCCTAATTTGTACCTTAAAGAACACCAAGACAAAAATAAATCTCTTTACTAAGACAACTTTAAATGTCAGCTTTGTGTAAAACAATCTTTTTAAAAGACAGCAGCAACATATAAGACTGTTAATTGGGAACTAGGAACAGATGGCTTCTGCTTTTCCAACATTCCTCTCCAGTGCTGGAGCCCTAAACAGAAGGGACTCTGTCTTTTCTTTTGCAGTGACTCTGGTTCTGATGCAGACAGTTTCTATGGCTCAGTAGAACGTCCCATCGATATCAAGTATTCTCATCATTCAGCAGATAATGAAGGTGACAAATCAGACACTGATAAATACGACTTCTTTATTTGTTTAATTATTTCTTCTGGATTCTGCAGGACTTATTGCCATTCCAAGCAATCTGGTCCATATTGCAACTGGTTTTTTTTTTTGTTGTTTTGTTTTGTTTTGTTTTTTGGTTTTTTGTTTTGTTTTGTTTTGTTTTTTACAAGGTGTATAGCTGTTGTAGTTTTAAACCAGAAGCAGATATTCTGTTAGTAAAGATAAACTCAAGAAATTCAGACCTTTCAGGGAGGTTAGTTAGAAGTGAGGATGTGACAGGAAGCCTTCCAGGTAGGCATTCACAACATATTTCAGCAACTGACCTCCTAGTCAAGAAATATATTAGTAAAATCCAATGTAAGAAACCTGGCCTCAGGGTTCAACAGAAATCCTTTGCTAGGGCTTTTCTCATCTTCCCTTTCAGATTTCTAAGGGCAGGGTTGATGGGAGCGAGTATTCTCATTTCCTGAAAGGAAATTCCTGACTCTTTTTCCTGACCGGGACAAAAAGGCAGGACTGAGTCTTGTTAGGAAATCCTGTTCAATTGCTGCAAAGCAGAGGAAAACCAACTCAGCAGCATTCCATGTAGGAAGGACTGTAGTTTAGTCCTTCTGTGTTTATGAAAGGGAAGTGTTGTATGCAAGATGAATTATGGTGAGAGGCCTATTAGGAGTTTAAATTAGGAAAATTATCAGATAAAAATCAGTTCTTCTATTCTTACCTTTTTCTTTTTTTAGTGCATTCCTCTCATACTGTTCTTGAGACTCCTCTTATAATCAATGAGAAAGTACTGCCTAGAAGTAGCATGTTTTTCTTGTCTTGATTATTCTGATTTACAGTTAAAGGCAACATTGAAACCACTTCAGCCATTTGTTGTGGTGCAGTTTTTTTTGTTGCTAGAGCAAGGCACAGAGTTAATTGTTTGTGGATCACGAGGCTTGCTTAGGCTTCCCTATTGCAAAATCAGAAATGTTTCTGTGTTAGGGTTAAAATTTTGGGGATTATATTTTTTCCAAGTGGTTTTGCCAATGCATCCATGTAGCTGTGTCTCTGCATCTGATTTGGGTGTTTCTCAGGAAGGCTGTAGCACCAGAAATTTTAACTTGAAAGTTGGAAACAAATTTCATGTTTAGTGTACTTCTTCTCCCCCTGTTGTAAGTGATGGCTTACTTCACTGACATTAAAATTTAAGGAAACACCTATTCTAGATAGCAAAGAGGTGGGCCAAAATTATTAATTAATTTTTTTACCTCCCTTAAAAAAAAATTCTGAAAAATATTTGTTTATTAAAGAGCCCTAAGTAGTTGATGCTCTTTCTTGGTTCCAGGAGTACTTATCAGAGTATGACACACTTCTTTTTATCTGCAGATTACGATCAGGAGGAAGAGGATGAGTCCTACTTGCAGCCAGATACTTGTGACATAGTGAAAGATGGTATGTGATTTCTTGGATTCCCTTTATGAAAGGCCCCCAGTGAAGGCAATATTCACATGGAATGCCAGGATTATTACTTTGCTTTGGTCATAACTAAAACATGGCAAGTGGTGCAATAACTGAAGTAATGCACACCTACCTAATCTTGAGAGGTATTTACGATGAGACATTTATAGTAACAGCAGTAACCATTTACAGAAAGCATAACATGCTTGCAGGCCTCCTGCCCTGGATGACCTGCATCTCTCCATCAGTCTGGAGCAGGACTAATGCTTTCAGTGTAGTCTGTTTTTAATTTATTTTTAGCACAGCAAAAAGCCTTTGCTAAGTCATCACAAGCCATGCCTGAATAAGAATGGCAGGAGTTTACTACCTATAACATGCAGAACTATGCTGAAAGTTAAATGCTTATCCAGCATTTTGGGTACTGTGTAGACCAGATGCCAGTAAAATACCTTAAATCACATTAAAAATTAATGTGAAAAGGCTTGCTTGTTGACATACATGTGTTTCCCCTCAGTGTGCCATCCTTTCTTTCTACAGATATGGTCCTGCCCCCAGCATACCCACCTCCACCCGTTCCTCATGTCAGAAAAGCTGCCTACACAGAAGCAAGGGCAAATTCCTACGCTGGCAAACCTACTGCTCCAGCACCCCCACCACCTCCCAAGAGGAGCTTACCTGATATCAAACTGGAGGATCTCGTAACCACGAGAGAGCCGCAGCTGCAGTGCCGAGCTGAGCCCAGCCTAAAGGTTCAGTCCTCCAGCCGGAGACTGAGTGAGCAGCTGCCCCCTGTGCCCTCTTTGCCTGTTTTCAAGAAGCCTGCATGTGTCAAAGAATCTCACCCACTGCCTCCAGACCCTCTGCCTCCAGCCCAAGTTCTTGCTCTTCCAGAAGGATGTGAGAAGCTAAAAAACTTAAACCTTTCACCGCGAACTCCTCCTCCACTCCCAGCCAATAAACCCAAGCTGTCGCAGCTCACTGAAAAACCAGTGGAGCCCAAAGTGCCAAGAGAACACGGTAAACCTGGACTGTTTGTGCCACCAGTGCTCCCAAAGCCACCTGTGCCAAGCCACCAGCCCCCAGGAATCAAGCCTAGAGCAGAGAAATCTTCATGTCCCCAGTTACAGTAAGTATGAAAACACAAAGCACTATTTTGTTTTTCCATTGTGTATTAGCTAACTAGTTGATAGACATATTTCTCAGATCCATATTGACATCTGTTTGTCTTCCCTGCGCCATCCTTCTCTCCCTCAGTGTTGTGCTTCTATTGCCTGTGTTTTATTTGAGACGTCTGTAATGAATTTAGTTGCAGAAACAGTTCAGAAAGAAACAGTAGATAAACCAAACTTTAAAAAAATTACACCAAAATTTTATAGTTCATTTTCAGGTGTGTCTCAAAGCCTTAATAGCCTTTGATTGCAGTGAATAAGAAGCCTTTATGTCCGGACCTCAATGAACTACAAAACCAATTTTAGGCTTCTGTGGAGATAGGAAATGTGTTCCATTTTATATTAAGATCAGCTTTAGTAAGGGATGTGGAACTAGTTACAGTGGTGAAGCAGATGAAAATATTTTTGTCCATTGGCTCGTTCAGCAGCTCTGAAGAACAAGTAATACACTCTTTAAAGCCAAAGTACAAGGAAGACACTGATAGACTGGAGGGAGTCCCATGTTGGACCACCAAGATATTTGGGCTGTAGCACATGATAAGTGAGGAGAGGCTGAGAGAACTGGATTCATTCAACTTTTAGGAAGATCAGTGGGAGATCAGTGGTACCTGCTACTACTTAGTGGGTGGGTATGGCAAGACAGAGCAAGACCTCAGAGTCTGCAGTGTTTTGGGATTAGAGGCAACAAGCAGAAGTCACAACTTGGGAAATTACAGTCAGGTATTAGGAAAAACTTTTTACCATGTGAAACAGATGGTGAAACACCAGAAACAAGTTGGGATGGAATCTCCGTCCTTGGAGATACTCAAAACTTGACTGGACGTGGCTTCCTGAGCTAACTGATCTGGCTGGACCTCTTTTGTGCAGGAGCTTGGACTGAATGACCTCTAGAGGTCTCTTCCTACCTAAATTAATCTACAATTACTCAAATTATTTTGCCTTCCAGCTCTGGGGCTCCCTTTTAAAAAAAGGCCTGTAGAAACTGGTCCAGAGGAGGCCACTAAGTCGATCCAAGGGCTGGAAGACAGGCTGGGGGAGTTGGGGTTGTTCAGCCTGGAGAAAAGAAGGCTCCAGGGAGACCTTGCAGCACCTCCCACTACCCAAAGGGGCTACAGGAAAGCTGGAGAGGGATTTTTCACAAGGGCATGTAGTGATAGACCGGGGGGTAAGGCTTTACACTGGAAGAGGGGAGGTGTAGGTTTAGATTAGATATTAGGAATAAATTTTTTACTGTGAGGGTGGTGAGCTGCTGGAACAGGTTGGCCAGAGAAGTTTTGGACCATAGAAGTGTTCAAAAGCCGGGTTGGATGGGCCTCTAGGCAACCTGGTTGAGTGGAAGGAGGGTTGGAATGAAATGATCCTTAAGGACCCCTTCCAACCCAAACCATTCTATGATTTGGGGGCTAAACTGAAATTTCTGTTTTACTATCCCTTCAGTGTTTTGTGTAAATTTGTTCTGTTTTCCTGATGACATATCCTTCAGTTTTTGTTCTTTTTCTTCCAGGAGGTCACCACCAGATGGACAGAGTTTTAGAAGCTTTTCATTTGAAAAACCAGCACTACCCTCCAAGCCAAGCCAACCTGACAATGATGACTCTGATGATGAGTATGAAAAAGTAAGATTAAGCAGATGATCCATTATCAAAGAATATTTTTTTCCTTGCTCATGTATACTTTTGGAAATTGTTTTAAATACATTATTGCAGGAAAAGAATAACTTTCTGAAAGCACAGTGCTGTGTAATTTTTTTTATTTTATTTCTTTTTGAGCCTCTTTGAGAATGCCTTGATAAGTTCTGGATTTTGATACTGGATATTAAGGAGAAAAAAAAGCATAAAGTATTGATTAAATCACCATTAATGATTTCAGATAGTGATGGCTGTAACTTGCTTGCATAACAAGTTGCTCATGTTTTGAGTTGCCGTTGACTTACACTGTGATTTATTTTCTTCCTGTTTTTTACAGGTTGGGCTGCCTGCTTCAATATTTCTTAATACCTCTGAATCCTTCGAAGTGGAAAGGTAAAATGTGACTTTTAAAATAGTTACTTAAAAGCCCTACAAAAACCTGTACTGAGCAGTAGTCCAAAGATAATTTTGTCAGGTATTTAATATGGAAATCACTTCTCAGGGAAGTTAGTTCAGTGCTTGTGTATCAATTGGTAGATAAGAATGCAACGTGATTTTGCTCCATCTGGGGAAGGTTGTTCTGCCAGGAAGGTAGAAGGGACCAGAAAATCAGATCTTCTGTGCCGCACTGCTGGTTTGGATGTTACAACAGTGACATTCTTTTAGTGATCTACTATGAATTATTACAACTGATACAGAGATTTGTAAAAAAGAATTTTAAGACTGTAGGCATTTGACTTATCTGAGCCAGAAAATGCTAATATGTGTAATTGCTCATTCTTTTTAGGATATTTAAAGCTAGTAGCCCTCAAGGACGACCGCAGAATGGATTGTACTGTATTAGGAACTCCTCTACTAAGCCTGGAAAGGTAAGTTGCAATTGCTGAATCTACCCCCCAGAAAACTTCTTCACTGAGACATGCTATATCTTCTGTATGATAAAGCACTTAACAATTTAGATGGGCTCTTTTCGTAAAGCAAGAAAATCTGAGACAATTGCTATCATGTCAGTGATTCTTTTTAATTTTTTAGACTGAATTTTAATTAATTCCTCAATAATATGTTGACTTAGAAGAGCTTGGTAGCATAGACTGAATATGTTGCATTTTTCTTCTTCAAGGTATTGGTTGTATGGGATGAACATGCAGGAAAAGTGAGAAACTACAGAATCTTTGAGAAGGTTAGTTGCTGCACTCTGTGTGCATATGTATATTATATTTGTATGTGTGTGTGTATAAAATGTGGGTGCATGTAGGTATATGTTGGAATTAAAGTCTAAACTTGTTCCCATTCCTGAAAGTGAAAATCAGCTGATTTACAAATATCTTGTCTAGGATGAGAGTTTGAGTACTCAGATCTGGGCTTTCTAGTTGCTGTATCATGCAAAAGAGAAACTGTAAATGTTCACATCTAAATTTCAGCTCCAGTCAAATCCTAAAGGATAGAATATTAAATGCCCAAGTTTAATATGGACTTATTTGTGTACCTGACTAGTTTGCAAAGCAGTTATATGTTTGAAAGAACTTCTTCATTCTGATGATGGTGTTTCGGCTTTTTCTCTTTAAACACTGAGTTGGAAGCTTTGCTGTCAGTGATTACATTTGGTTTCTGTTCTACAACAGGATGACAAGTTTTACCTGGATTCAGACATCATGTTTTTGAACATGGGAAGTGTGGTTGAATACTACAGCACTCATGTCTTACCTAGTCACGACAGCCTGATGCTTCGGTGTCCTTATGGCTACTCCAAACCAAGGTGACACGACAGCCCTAGTTCACTGACACTCCCTGCCCCTGAGTTAACTCTGGACTCCTGCCACTGCTGGACATGCTGTTGTTTGCACACCCAAACTGAGTCTCTTCCCACCATTTATTCTCACACGAATTGTACATAAACGCCATGTAATGAACTCTTGGTAAAACCTTACAGTCCAGATCGGTGGACTTGATGGTCTTTTCTTTTAAAAAGATCTGAACTGATGATGCTGGAAAAGCTGTCCAGGATACCCAGACTTTTTACAAAACTGCTGCTATTACTAATCTCTTTGGAATGTCAAAGAAGGGCATGAACAAAGAAGTGGTCTGAATACAACTGATCCAGAAAATGGGGACTTGTGGACATCTATCAGAATTTACTTGTGACAGGGAATACTAATACTCTGACTTGAAGGTAGTACTCCTAAAGTCAGCACTGGTGCTCAACTGAGATATTCTTTTGTACTACTTGTATAGTTGACATGTAAATAACGAAGACTTCTGTGCAAACTATTTGATTTACTGTGGGTAAAGATGATCAGGAAATCCGGCTTTTTTTTAAGCCACCTCATACATGCACGTACCTTCCGAGTACAGTGGCTGCAGCAATCACTGTCAGGTGCTGTCCAGCTGATACACTTGTGGCATCTCAAGACTCCTTAATGACATGCACTTCAGGTAAGTGTGGAACAATATTGATTTGGCTTCATGGGAGCCTCGTTACCAAGTTCTGAACTGGAAGGGTTTGTGCCGCTGGAATTTTTAATGGGTATGAGAAGATGGGTTCTCTCCCATTGCCATAGTCAAAGGTTCTTTAAAACAAAACACAGAAAAAAAACACCCTGAAACCATGATTTTGATACTACTATAAATCTTTGTGGTCAGGATCAGTCTCTTAGGATCTGATTGTCAGCCCATTGCATTGTTTTCTCTCCTAGGGCAAAACACACTGCCCTAATCTACTACCAAGAATTACAGCCCTAATCTACTACCAAGAATTTTTCCTTTACTAAAATTTCTACCCAGTTTGTAATTGCGTGTAAAATAAAGTCTATTTTTAACATCCTATTGGTGATAAACATTACTAGGGTGCTTGTAATATTTGTTCCCTAATGTTTTGGGGACAGGTATCCTAAATCCAATGCCCAAATTACTCTATTCCTAAACTTTAATAAGGAGGAAAAATTTGTTCTAATAACCTGTTAATTCTCTTGGTCCAAAAGTACTGTCATAATGGTTTCATGCTCTAATAATGTTAACAGGAATTGTAATAATAATAAAAAAAAATCTGCCACTCCTGAAACAGAAGACGGTATCTAGTTTCTGTCAGTCTGAATCTGTCTCCACAAGCTCCTTTGTAGTAGGATCATACATAAGAACTGAGGCAAGAAACTGCCTCCACCTTTGCAAGAGGCACAGACACACACAATATCAGTCTTTTGATCTCTGTTCCCGCTGTAATTGGGTTTATTGGGTTTATGTGTGTATGAAGTACTCAAAATTCAGATTCTGTTGAATACTGGATATTTTAAGTTTCCAATTCCTTTTAGTTTAAATTAGTATCCCTGTGGTTCACTACCCTGACGTAATTTACTCTAAAGAGGGCTCAGCCAAGACAGCATTTATAAAACATTTTTGGCAAATACATAAATGTATATCAGAGCAGGGTCAAGTTTCTTGCAGTATTCACACATACTGTTTAGAGAATAAACTTTTCTCTGTCTGGGAATAATTGACTTAATTGTTTCATGACAGTCATATCTACAGTATGTTCTCTTTGGGGCTCTATTCAGATATTTTTTTCCAAGCATAAGCTCAGAAGATTTTTAAATTGTACACATACATTTAAAACATAACACTTTCTTTACCTGTGTAATGCAAGGGTTGAAAATATGTAAATTTTTGTGTTAATTCTGTTTTGTACCTAAATGTATAGATTTCTGAAATGGATAAAAACTTTCAGTGCCGGTTCACCTCATTTTGTGTGGTCATCTTTAATTTCATGGATGTGTGTTTTAATGCTCTTTTTGTAGTTGTGTTAGATACTGTTAGACTCTTCTAACCATACAGTTAAAGGAATTAGTTTTCAGCCCCCTTAAGAAACAAATCTTCATGTAAGCAACTCTCAGAAATTGGCATTCTGGTTATCAGATGGTGCAAGGTAATTCCCTCATCCCTCCAGAAACAGGTAGGAGGGTTCCAAACAAATCTGCAGTCACTTACACACTTTTCTCCAAGCCCTCTTGCTCCCCTGTACTACTCTGTTTAATGTCAAATCAAACCAAGTTAAATTTCTGGTGTCTGTAGGGAAGAAAGGCACAGCTAGAACACATAGCTCAGTGTGTCTCCTGTACCTCTCACTAAGCTGCCTCTCTTCATTCCTTCACCACAAAGCAACCTTTCTGTCTACAGCCTCCTGCAAACTCTGTAGCTTTAAAGTAGTTTGTCAGGAAATGTAAAAGCATTTGATGTGCAAAAAAAGGCAGTTTATAAATTTGGTGATATCCTAGTTAAAACTAATTGATAGCAGTTTGGAAAAAGTCTTGCTTCCTCTGTCTGAACCTCCAGGAAAAAGTGTTACAGGTGCTGTTTGAGGGGGAGGGGGGGTTTGCTGTTCTAGGGGAAAGAAGATTATAATGCTTTTGAAAATAAAGCAAGGGACAATCAATCAATAGGCAATATGTTGTAAGAAGTGAACCAATATCCAGATGCTTTTTCTAATGGCAGTAAAGGTGCTTTGTGTCAGCAGACAAGTACTCCCCTCGTTCAGAACTCCAGTTTTAACAAGAATGGGAATAAGCAAGGAGAGTATTTGTAGCCTCAGGTGCTTCATCCTTTGGAACGTGCAAAAGGGCACTGAAGATTTTGGAAGCTTTAACCGTGATTATTTAGAATTTGGGGACATCTGCTGGTCAGCCTGTTCCACGCAGGGATCCACACGACCTGATTGCAGCTGCTGAGCATGTGTGTGGAAGTCATTAGAGAGAAATCAATCTTAAGAGACTTCAGATAGAAGCCAGAGATTAAAGCTGACTTCAGGGGGAAACTCAATGGGCCAGGTCTTTGAAACTTAAGACTCTTTTGGCTCATCTCTCTCGTGTAAGTAGCAATGTTGGTTTGCAAAATTACTCATTTGAATGTCTTTCAACCTAGATGACAACCAAATTAATTCATACTTCTATGTTTAAATTATTCTTAAAATAGACTTCGAGGTTGAATTTACCTAATGGACACCTGAGCACCACCTAAATTTATCCACATCGCGAAGCACTAAAGAGTTGTCCTGAACATGAAATACTTTACCCAGCAGCAAGCAAATTGCATGATGTTGCAATAGTTTCTATCTCATGAAAAAGTCAACTCCTTCATGTCAAGGAGGGCTTTTTTTCCTAGCAGTGGGACTGCTTGAGATGCCCGTGATTACAGACCCATAAATAGGAGAGCTTATAATTCTTTTACTATAAATACCTGAAGTGCCAAAATACCAAATACAACTACAACTTCTAGAGAGCATTTGAGCTCGCTTTAATACTGGACAGGCTGAAGTGATCAAGTTATTAGACTTCAGGTATGTAGCAAGCTTTGGAGCACAGCCAGCTCCAAATCTATTCCTTCAGGGCTTCCATTCCTGTATCTTAATTACAGGATGGTCATTACTCTCCCACACTTGTACCTCCTTCCTTGCAGTATTTAGTTCCCAGGAAGTGGATAATCCAACCTCCTGGTGTGGCCCTAATGGGCATGGAATCTTGGAGATAGCAAAGAATTGTTTTTAATGTCATTGTATTCACACGCATTCCCTGGAGTTGGTTTGCACAGAAATGACAGTAATATCAACCATTTAGAGGATTAGATCTCTGGATGTATAAAATCCATATATATGTGAAATATATATCTATGAAATGAGGGAAAAGCACTTAACCCTTCTTTAAGTTACCACCTCCTCTGCCTTTCAACAACCACGTTGTGCAAATGCCCTCTGTGTGCCATCTGGGCACAGTCGGTTCTCAGGCTGGGGGGCTGATGTGCCCTGGAGTTCTGATCTGGAAAGCCATTTCCATGGATGGAGCTTTGCGCCCATATGGAAAGCCAGTGATTTGAAAGGACCACCCCAGCAGCACAGAAAACAGACAGGTCTGTTCCGTGGAAACTTAGTAAAGGGTTTTATTACAGGGCAAATATGGAAAGATGTGCCAGGTGTGGCCTCGTGAGCTGTCTGTTTTAGGCTCCATTGATTATGTTGTGCTTTAATTTACACCGTGCTAACATTCATGGTTGGGGTTTTTTTCCAAGGAAATGCCAGCCACACCCTGACCGTGGGAGTGCTGCTGAAAATGTGCCATTTTAAAATTAAATATGACTTAAGGGAATTAAAAACTTGATATTCTAATATTACAAAGCTTCTCTCAAGATTAATTAATTTTCTCCTATATATAATAATAACTAAAGTATTAACTACCTTAAAATATTTTTCTTATGCTTTTCAGCCCTCCTCATTACTTTGAACTTGCCCTGGTACCTTTTTCCTTTCTTTGTTTTACTCTCTTGGGTCTGCTTGTAGTTGCAAAGTTAGTTCAAAAGTTGTAACTTCTTTTAGTGACATTTTTCCTCCTCCTGCTACTAAGGATGAAGATGTTCATCAGAGAGCAGCTAAAAGCAATTTCAGCAGCTCTGGTCACGCTGGAGTTCATAGAGAAGCAACTTGCAGAGAACATACAGCTAGAAGGCAGATGGTCCTTAGGAAGCCATAGATGTTGCAACTGAAAGAATTGGATTTACTTGGAAAAGCATTTTGGAAAAACAAACCCTAACCTCCACAAAGAATGCTGGTTGCTGGAGTTCCTTTGGCTGAAGCAATTGTTGCACCTTTGGTTATGTTTCACTGGAACTGTTACAAACCAGCTTGAACCATGTGGCTCGACTGACATTTCATCTCAGTCATGTGTAAAAATTTCTCTCTGCTTCGTGAGCATAAAGTCAATACCTTTCAAACTTAAAGCCAAAGTGGCCTCTCAGTTTAACAGATTGGGTAAAATCTGGCAACATTTAGTATGGGCCAGTTCCAGCTGCTCTGTCTTTCTCCCACCTACAGTGTCAGTTATCTTTATTTTTTTCAGCTCAAACAAGCTTCCAATGTGTTTTTGTTTCCTTGTGGAGGTAGGTGAAAGTAGACCAGAATACATTTTTTTTCTTCCATGTAGTTGTCCTATTGAATGTTTCTCATATGTACTTTAGGGTTTGTTTCTAAATATGAATTTCAGTCCATTGGGAAAGCTCTCCATCCTTGCATAAATCAGTAAAATTCAAAAAAGCAGTTTCCTGTGAAGGACATGAATTCATATACTTTAGACACAGCCTTACCTACAATGACCAACTTCAGTAATACTGCCCATAAACCACGAGGCATTATTACTGCTGTTAATCACAGCTGAGAGTAAGGTAACCCATTACATCATTTAAAAAAAAGGCATTTAAGTTGAATAATTTCAAAGACAAATCCCTCACAAGTCTTTCAGTAGTAATGCTGCCTGTGCATAAGCTCCCTTGTCCCACCCCCAGCAGCGTCCTGTGTGCCAATGAGAGACAGGGCACCTGGGGCTGCTCTTGGGGGATTTCGTACGGATAATTTGTATTTGTCCATGCACA